GTATCTCTCTATTAATTTCTACGATATTTAAAGCCTCCAAAACACCAAGTGAAGAGGGAGAGGTGCCACAAGGTCATCTCGGCTGGAGGGCACAGCATGAAGTATGTGAAGAATGTAGACAACCTTTAAATTGACCCTGACCAGGCTCAGGAGGCATGGGCCACCCCGTGTTCTCCAGAGATCCTGAGTGGTTTGGTACTGACATGTTGTAAAGATTGACGGGGTGGGGGAGACTTGGGAGACTGCTGAAGAGGGGAGCCCCACAGGCTATGCCAGAAAGCTTGGACTTCGCCCTAACTTGAGGTGGATTCACTGAGGGGGTTCAACAACTGAGTGAAGGGGCCAGGATGGAAGTTCCAGTAAATCCTGGGCTCCTTCTAGAAGGAAGAGGAATAGCAAGGTTCCATATCATCTTGCCAAAATAAGGTAATCACTCAGACATTACAGCCTCTAGGTTACAATATGCCTTTCACAGAGTTATGAATTGATCAAAAACAATTGAAAAGAGTTGTATTGGTTTAAATGTTAATTGACAATTTTGAATTAAAATTATTACAAAAACTTTCACTCTACACAGACACGCGTACGTAGGTAGGGAACATGACATGAAGTAGTAGATACAGGCGGGTAGTGAGGGGGAGGAGATAGTGTGGCATCCTCAAATTTTGGCTGTGAAGAAGGCTTATAGCTGGAGGAGAGAAGAGGGTCAGGTGAAAAAACAAACCAACAAAGTTGTTGTCAAGTCAGTTCCGACTCATGGAAACCCCATTTCAGAAACAGATCAACAGGCCTGTTTCTGAGGCATCTCTGGGTGGGTTTGAACTGCCAACCTTTCAGTTAGTAACGAAGCACCTAACCCGTTGTACCACTCAGGGGCTTCATTATTTAAAACGGGAGAGATTTGGCAAGTTCATAGGCCAAGGGGAAGGAGTAGGTGGAGAGAGAGCTGGAAGCTCCAGGAGGGAGCAGATAAGGTGCAGGCTTGGAGAAGACAGATGTACCGAAGTACTTCTTCTCAAACTTGCAGCTCCAGGAGGGAGCAGATGGGGTACGGGCTTAGGGAAAACAGATGCACTGAAGTACTGCTTCTCAAGCTCAGTGTGCACACCAGCACCTGGGCATCTTGTGAGAACGTGGATTCTGATTCAGTAAGCCAGGTGGGGCCTGAGAGTCAGCATTTCCAGCAAGATCTCCAGATGATCCACAAAATTTGGGATGCACAGATCTAGAGCCTTGCTTGTGGCCCAGGACCAGCAGCATCGGCATCACCTGGGAGCTCGTTAGAGATGGAGAGTCTCAGGTCCCTCTCCAGATCTACTCAATGAACCAGAATCTGCACTTCCACAGATCTCCAGGTGATTCCAAGGCTCATTCAGGTTTGAGAAGCACTGTTCCAGATAATGTGAGAGGCCAGGTCATCTGCTGAGCCAGAGGGAGGATGGGAAATAGTTGTTGGAAGAACTGATAAAGGGAGCCAACTAAGGATGCGTAAAAAAAATTGACAGGTGGCTGGCTCCAAAGCCTGGTAGAAGTCACAGATGGTCTATAGTGGTGTTCCTTAGAAGCAAGGATGGCGAGACTTTGACTTAATTACTTAGGACACGTCATCAGGGAAGACCAATCACTAGAAAATGAAGTTATGTTTGGTAAAGTAGAGAGGCAACAAAAATGAGGGAAACCATCAATGAGACAGACTGACACAAGAGCTGCAACAATGGACTCAGACATACCAACAATCATGAAGATGGTGCAGGGCCAGGCAACGTTTAGTTCTATTATACATAAGGTCACCATAAGTTAGAGCTGACTCCATGGCAATGGCAACTAATGACAACAATAGTGATGACAACTATTTTGGATATGAATAGACCAAGTGAAGTTTTTCTGGCTTGGTTGTTATATTTGGGCAAAAGACTTCCTACTACTATATAGTACACAATCAAGTGTCTCATGTTTTAAAAAAATTAGAATATTGCTCTTCTTCCATTATTTTTTGTTTTAGCTCATTGACGTAACTCTTAAAACATCTTCTCGATCCTTGTGATGGAGTCAGATTTTCCTGAGGTCATCCAGCTCATACTTGCCACTAAGAGGGGGTATGTTTAAGCAGTCTGAGAATGATCAATATCCTCTTATTTAAAATCCAGAAGAGAAAATTCTATAACATTTTTTATTAGGATAGTCCGATTTTATGGGATAAATTCTAAACTCCACTTCTTACTTGCCACTCACCAAACTGACTTGCATTTCATCCAAATAAAAACATAACTTCAAGTTCAATCTGTTGTCTCTGTTAAAACCTTGTCAATCTGTCAAACATACCTCTTGGTCCACCCCTGCTTACTCTAGTTTTTGTATTTTTCTCTTCTCTGAATTCTTAAGAACTAAGCTTACTGGACCACCCATTGAGTAATTCCCAATGCCTTGCATTGTTACTTATCCTTTCAAGTTGTGAATATTAAGCATGGACACTCATTTCAAATCTGTTATACCAGCATTTCTTGGAAGAAGTACAGTCAAAATTCTCGTTAGAAGCATTCTCTCTTACTTTGGACACATCAGGAGGGACCAGTCCCAGGAGAAGGACATCATGCTTGGTAAGGTAGAGGGGGAGTGAAAAAGAGGAAGACCCCCCAACGAGCTGGATTGACACGGTGGCTGCAACAATGGGCTCAAACATACCAATGATTGTGAGGATGGTGCAGGACTGAGTAACATTTCTTTCTGTCATAGATAGGGTTGCTCTGAGTCGGAACCGACTTAAAGGCACCTAACAATAGCATACCAGCTATTATACAGCCAAAAGAATGTCCTCTTCTTCAAAGTAATCATCTATTCTAATGATGCTGTCAAAAGTGCTTAAAGCACTTTTGAAATTCCTTAGAAACTCCCTCCAGAAACTGGCCCACATTCTTTTGAATTTCTTAAATAGGGGCATAACTTTGCTCTTTGAGGATAGATCGGCTTTTTGAAACAGTAACAAGAAATTTAAGGTGATAATTAAGGTAGGCAGTCAAGTTGGGCAATGCTATCTTTTAGCCAAAATAAAAATATCACCATGAGGTAATTGAGAAAAAAAAGAAAATTCTCTCATTCTGTAGATAATTTCAGGATGCGCATTCTTAGTGGAATGAGTTAATAGCCTCCAAGGTGACCATTTCATTGAGGTAGAAACTCACTTGGCTAAAGCAACCCTTAGATATTTGTTTTAAAACTAAATTTTACGGTTGTATTTTTCTAATCTCCAAAACAAGTTCATAAGCATCTTGGACATTTTCCTTTCTGAACTTCAGTCATAGCACTGATTTTATTGTCCTTATTTTCTTGTACACCTGTCTTCTTTGGTAAGACTGAAAGCTCCTTGAAAGCAAGGACATGTTTTAGCCATCTTTATATAACAGCATCCAAGTCAGTGCTGGGCACATAGTAGCCACTTAGTAGTATTTGTGAATGAATGAATCATTGAGTGAGTGAATGAATTGCTTAGGTCACTGTCGTCCTATAGATTTCTACTGATCTTAAACAGTTATAATATCTGTGTTAGTCCCTGGGTGGTGCAAACGGTGAAGTGCTCGGCTGCCGATGGAAAGGTTGGAGGTTTGAGTTTACCCAGAGGCGCCATGGAAAAAAAGCCCTGGCAAGCTACTTCAGAAAAAAGCAGCCACTGAAAACCCTACAGAGCATAGTTCTACCGTGACACACCTGGAGTTGCCACGAGTCGGAATGGACTCGACAACAACTGGTTTAGACCACAGTTATCAGATTTATACCCAGATTGAGGCCTTCTTTACCTAGGAAGATCCGTCCCCATAGACTTTTCATCAATTTTAAAGATTGCCCAATATCACTTCTTTATGATGTTTGCTAATAAAATCTTTGTTTTCGGCACTAGCTAAGTGTATATTTCCTTACAGGCGATCAATAAAACTTTGGTGAATGAATACTGAATGAGTAAATGCCTTGGTCCAGAGAGTTGACCTGAAAAAAAAGTTTTTCATGATAAAAGAAACCTTCCAGCTTTTTAGCCTATTCCTGGGTGATTATTGGTGGTTTTTCTTAATTCATCTATTTGTAAAAAAAATCTTTCTTGGGTCAATTTTTGTGAATAAAGTTTCTACCATTTCCTTTGGGAAGCATTTGATGCGCACCTAAGGTTTGTTGTCACTGGTCTAAAGCTTATTTTATTGTGAACGTTCTTCCTTTTTTACTGAATTTAATAACAAATATTTCTCTTCTGTTATTAAGTAGCATCCCCTTTTTCTTTTCTGAAAGAGCAATATCATATCTTGTTTCTTTTCTCCAAATACATCATAGCCCCACTCTTCAAACGACTTTCTTCTCAGGCTGTGAAAAAAACCACAATTTTTATTGTCATTTAGTCAGGTTACAAGGCATATATAAAACCCACAAACCACAAATGCACGGTTGGTGGCAAATTTAATCAATTCTCTGTTGATCACTGAGAAAATTTCTAATTGCACAAAGTGTAGTACATGACGTCTCAAATATAAATGAAGGGACAATTAGTAGTGTTATCAAAATGTATAATATAGGGACACTTTTTAAAAAGGGATAGAAAGGTGGTGCTCAGGACCCGTAAATCTTCCTCATTATAAGCATATGCTTCATTCATGCAGGTTTATATATGTAGATAGGATTTTCTTTTCCTTTTAAAGAATTGCGTCGTAGCTATGAGCTGAAAAACGTATTGATGTAACAATTTATTATGGTAATGTGATAACCTTTCTTCTATTTTGCTTTTAGTGTTACCATTCCTAAGAGCTCATTTGAAATACCCAACTGACATAGTGTGCTTTCAGCAAGGAGGACACTGGGTATACATTATCCTTCCCCTGTCATTGTTTGGTACCGTATCACCAGGCCTCCTTGTACATGGGCCACTGTGCTGAGAGGGAGGCCAGGGAGCTCAAATTTCAGGCAGTGGGTGGCACAGTGAATGTTTCCGTAAGGCAGTCCTATAGGCAGGATGAAAAACATACTTGCCTCCCAATGGAAGAGGTCAATGGCTTTTTGCCCAGCCATGCTGACTCCAGTGCTGGCTAGATTTGGGTTCAGACAAGGATTCCCAAGCAGAAGGCCAAACCCATGGGTCCCCACTCAAGTCAGACTACCCCCACAAAGGCTGCCTGGAAAATTCCCAAGATGCCAGGACACTAAGCAAAATATCCAGGTGGCAGGACTGTGCCACTCCTGTGTCTCTTTGGAGGAGTGTTGAAAGTCCAGGACACCTTCACAGGCCATGGGGCCAAAGCCCCTCCTTCCTGGTCACCACAAGATTCAAGGAGTGAGCTGCATTGGGCATCACACCCATGGACATGGAAGAAATAGACCCTCCACAGAAGCCAAGGAGAAGAGAGGAGGGACTGACCAGCAGATGGGAGGGCCTGCCTCCCACGTCCTTTTGACCCCTCCAACTTCTGCCAGGGCCTAATTCTTCAGTGTAAGTGAGACTCAATCAGACAAATTGGTTGGGCGTCTCCTCAGCTTCCAGAAGACTTGGAAATGGTAATTCTGCCAAAAGAGGCTCCGTGAGAGATGATCTGGGTGACAGACTGCAGTTAAAAACATCATCTATTGAACCTAAAACACAGCGAACAAGGCATGTGTTATTTCCATCACTGCAAAAAATGCCTTTAACACTTGAACATAAAACAGAATAATTTTAATCACGAATAGAGAATCTTGGCTTCCTCAGAAGATTCAAAGGCTAACCAGAAAGGGGTTGCTGTTTGTCTCCTGGGAGGAGGTGACTAGGTTAGAAGGACATCGGTGCTGGGGCTTTCCCATGGGCTGGGGTGGGTTTGCAGTGTGTTGCATGGACTCTTTCTTACTGGATGGCCAGAAGGCCTACCTCTGGAGAATAGATACCTAGGGCTGAAGTCAGCAGGGGAGAAGGGAACAGAGCTAAGTTAATTAATCCACCGGGGGCTGTACCAGTGGACTTGCTGGCTCTGTGTCCCTCCAGAGCTAGGAACTGGCTCTGCATGCCTGATACCAGTTGCCATTGAGTCAACCCCAACCCACGGTGACCCCAGGTGTGTCAGAGTAGAACTGTGCTCCATTGGGGTTTCAATCCATGAGTTGAACTGTGCTCCACAGGGGTTTCAAAAACCGTAGGTTCAAAGAGACCGGTGGTTTTCTGCAATCAGCAACAAGAGTCTTGATGTAACGAAGCTGTTTTCCAGGCCAGACTAGCATGAAGCAGAGAGAATGGACTGGCAGGAGACAAGTCAGAGAGACTTCAATGCAGACCTGGTGGTGCAGTGGTTAAAGAACTTGGCTGTTAACTGAAAGGTCGGTGGTTCGAATCCACCAGCTGCTCAGTGGGAGGAACATGTGGCAGTCTGCTTCCGTAAAGATTTACAGCCTTGGAAAAACCCTATGGGGCAGTTCTATTCTGTCCTATAGGGTCTCTATGAATCGGAATTGACTTATCCGCAGTGAGTATATGAAATATTCTCAAGTTATTCTTGTGTGGTCTTACAAAGTCTCGCCAATCCTTCCAAATACAGTAAAACCTGCAAAAGCCAGAACCTGTATAAGGCAGAAACCTGTCAGAGAAGGAAAATGCAGATATTTTCCATAAAACAAGTGATAGAAAAGTGGTAAGACTGCACCCTGTCAAAGGCGGAAAACTCTCGAGACCCGGAAGAACAAGGCAGTCCCATCATCTGGCTCTCACGGTTTTCACTGTTTTATTAAAGGTAGATGTCAACCATGTAGACCCTTCTCCCAACTAATAATTTAGTTAACATTCTGTTGCCCAGAATATAAACATCAGGAAAGCAGCCCTCTTTAATAATACTTAAATTATTGTTAATAATAGTTAAATAAGCATTAATATTTATTTAATTTTATATTGGGTAGTGCCGCACGATATAACTGTTATGTTAGAAAAACTTGTTAGTTACTCCTGATTCACAGTGACCCCATGCACAGCGGAACCAAAAGTTGCCTGGTCCTGCGCCATCCCCATGATTGGCTGCAGATCAGGACACATGATCTATACAATTTTCATTGACTAATTTTCAGAAGTAGATCGCCAGGTCCTTCTTCCTGGTCTGTCTTAGTCTGGAAGCTCTGCTGAAACCTATTCAGCATCCTAGCAACACACAAGCCTGAGGTGCATTGGCCAGGAATCGAACCCGGGTTTCCTGCATAGATGGCAGGAATTCTCAAATTGAACCGCCACTGCCCCCATTGTCAGCAAACTTAAAGGAGCCAAAAAAGAGAAGTCACTCTATTTCTTTTTGGTAGTAACCATCTCCCACTTCTTACTTTCTGAATTACATCCTATTATATTTCCCTTTCATCAACAGGCCTTGACTTTTCAATTAATTGACTTTCATCTGGCTCAAATGCTCAGCTGCTAACTAAAAGGCTGGCGATTTGAACCCACCTGCGGCTCCACGGGAGAAAGACCTGGCAATCTGCTTTCCATAAAGATTACAGCCTAGGAAACCCTATGGGGCAGTTCTCCTCTGTCACATGGGGTGGCTATGAGTTGGAATCGACTTGACGGCACACAACAACAACATCTCCCATTATATCATTCTACCCTTTTATTTATCTACCTTTCCCACATGTACTGGAGAATTTTTAACATACCTCTGGAAGTTACACTAAACTTTCGGTCAGAGAAACTGCTCCTTCGAATTAAAGGTTCACTCATCTTTTCCAGAAATAATTTAATGGTCTCCTTCTTTTCTGGACTTGTACTAGACAAATTCAGCACTTTGCCATTCACTTTTACGGTGGAATTGCTGAGCCCGAACCAGTAGAAGAAATCAAACAACGCGTTGGCTTTGAATTCATACGCAAAGCTCAAATTTTCTCCATTAACTACTTCATTCCCTGGAGGAAAAAAATTCTTCACTGCCTCTTGAAAATCAAACTGAACGAGAGAGAAACACGTAATTAATTTCATGGGTATAACTATGACATTGATGTATAGAATTAACAACTGCCCGCATGTCCAAACCATCATACCCCTTATTTCTCTTTCATCCTGATAGATTTTTTCATTGTTGCCCTGTTTTTTTTTTTTTTACCTTTTGTTTTTTTGCTTCCCTTTCCCCTTAAAATGCTGAACTTCTTGGTCAAAGTTGCATTTCTTTTTACCCCATTTCTAATAAGCTGCTGGGAACTAAGCCATTTATTGGTGGCAATAGTGAAGCAATGGAGAACTGAAGTGTCTGGAGATAGCTCAGTGCAGACTCTGAGAACTCAGTCCTTGAATCAGATGCCCAGGCTCTTTCCTATGTGATGAAAAACCAGTTGCCGTTGAGTCGACTCCAACTCATGGCGGCCCCATGTGTGTCAGAGTAGAACTGTGCTCCATAGATGATCAGGCCTTTCTTCCGAGGTGCCTCTGGGTGGACTTGAACTGCCGATGTTTCAGTTAGCATCCAAGCATGTTAACAGTTGGCACCACCCACGGACTCCCCTGTGTGGTTAACAGCTCTGGATTCAGACAGGCTAAAGCTTACCTGAAGTCGGTAGCTCTCTCCAATCACTGAGGAAATCACCATATCCATCCCTTGCTCTATCTGTCTTCTTATCTTGGGGTGCCTTGTGTTCACAAGAAATGCATATGTCTTTTCTAGAAACGAGGAAACAATTTATAAACACACGTGCATGTATGACATGGACATGCTCCTTAGCATTCGCTAAAGCAGTGATTCCCACATGCTTTGGAGGTTTCATTCATTTCTAACCTTCCTCACCCCTCCTTCCAACCCCGGCTGCAAAGCCTAACCGTGTTTCTAGAAATGAGATTCCTGATGATGGCACCAGTTTGAAGGGAATTCTGGGAGATAGCTTGAACAAGCAGCTTAGAAAATCGGCTCTCCCAGAGCTGCAGTTTGCCATTCCCGTCTTAGAAAAGGCCCATTCTAGAATGATCATGATGAGGATTGGGCCTCCACCCAATGCCTCCAGCATGGGGCGCTAACGTGAAAAGCGTAGATGGCTGGTTTTCGTGTTGCCGCCTTGCAATTACTCTGCTCTTTGTAACGTTTCCTCATTTGCAAAGCAGAACACCAGCCAAGTCCAAGGTAGGAGGCTCTGGGTGCCTTCCTCCTGGTCTCCCCCAGCCTCCCCAGAGACCTGGCATTCCTTCTGCCACACGGCTCATCTAGAATTCTAAGAACCAAGGCAATCTGAAGTTCGTTCTCCTCCCTGCCCCCACTGCTAGCACAATCCCTTGTGGGAAAAAGCCCTTCTTTGTTTAAATAATTCTGTGACTCTGTCCTAGCAGACAGTTTCTTTTTTTTCTTTCTTTCTTTTTTTTTTTTTTTCGTAGCCTCTTAAATTTGTTGTTTTAGGTGCCATCTAGTTGGTTCTGATGCATAGCAACCCCATGAATAACAGATTGAAACATGACTCAGTCCTGTACCATCCTCACAATAGTAGGTATGTTTGAGCCCGCTGTTGCAGCCACTGTGTCAGTCCGTCCCGTTGAGGGTGTTTACACTTAATTCTACACCATCTAAGCAAAAGGAAGGTTGGTTACTCATTAGGAAATTTGAAATTTTATTAAGCTGCACCTCTTAGCTCTTCCAGCTGTCAGAATCCAGCTCCATGACCTTAGTTATTCAAGTATTTTGTCTAGGAAGACACATAGAACTCCATGCCACCCTCTGGTTAAAGGCCACGGGCAGTCCTGTGATCTTGAGAACTGAGCACGTTGCACTGGCTTTGAGATATCTTAGAGCCAAACCTGTGGGCCACCAATAAGTGTTACGTCCTCAAGGGATGCACCTTGAACTAACCTTATTCATCTGATTTTCCCCCCATTTTTTTCCTTTCTCCCAAATTATGTTTTTCCCTGGGCACTTTAGATATAATTAAACTAACAACATATATCCACTTTGAGGCAAGAGATAAACAAATAAAGACAGCAAATTGTTTGATACCTTGAATTAATTTCCACACAAGGCAAATGAAGACCTTCAGTCTCATTTAGACACACTCGGGGGGCCACCGCACTTCACAGTTGTGCTGGTTGGGCAGCTGTGCACTGCACAATGCTAGGGGGCGCCAGGTGCATTCATGGACATTGTCTACTTGTATAATTCTAGAAGCCACCCTAAGGAGCCCTGGTGATGCATTGGTTAAGCACTTGGCTGCTAACTGAAAGGCTGGCAGTTCAAACCCACCAGCCACTCCGCGGAAGAAAGGTGAGGCAGTCTGCTTCCGTAAAGATTACAGCCTCGGAAACCCTGTGGAGCAGTTCTACCCTGTCCTATAGGGTCACTATAAGTCAGAATCGACTCGATGGCAACACGTTTGTTTTCTTTTGGTAGGGGTTGCCATGTGCATTCATGGACATTGTTTATTTCTACAACTCTAGGGGGCATAACATGCATTCAGGGACATGGTCTACTTGTATATATATTACGACAAATTTCTGGGAAGCATCAATAAAGTGTGTTGAGGAAATAGAAAAAATGGTGGCTTTTTCTAATTTGCACAAAGATGCAGTTTGGACTAGTAGTAGGGCTGGATATGTTGCTTTAATCACAATTTCAATTAGCTTGGTCGTCTTAAGCTTCTACATGATCGAGCCTCTTCATTTTATGGCATTTCTCACATTAACCAGTATTGGGTTCCTATACAGTAGCAATAGTTGTCATACAAATGCATACTTTTGTAGGCCACCCACTAATACCTCCATGTCCCACTCCTTGTACTTTCATTAAAATGTTAAAATGGAGAGTCCTTTACTCTTTCTTTAGATACCTCCTGATAGAAGCAGGTAGTGCCCCTTGATACATCTGTGAACCACATGCCTAGGGAAATATCTGGTTTCCTGGTCAAAGAACATCAAACCAAATAACATAAGGGTTCTGTTCCTTGCCTCAGCGTCATGATTCTGAATGAGGAAATGAGCAGAGAAAGTTCCACAAATCTAAGTGAGAGACCGCGAATGCTTGAGAAAATTCATTTGGAATTTGTAGATCATTCCGTATTACCTTGGACTCATTTTAGGAATGTTGTTTAGAAATAAGTGTAAGAAATTCAGCCTCTATCACAGAACGTTATACTAACAACATTCCCCGTCTATCACTCAGAGAGCAGGGACCAGGACAAAGGGAGACATGTTTATACTGGAATTTTGGTTAACATGGTTATTACTAATTAGTCTTATTTCTTGGAGGAAACAATAGAGACGCATCTAAAAATGAAATTTTAAAGCCATAGCATGAAGCATAAAACCATCTACAACTGCTATTTTCTTTACCTAAGTTTCCTTATCTGTTAAATGAAGAAAGTGAAAGTACTTCCCTCATAGGTAAACCAAAACACCAAACCAGGTGCCATCAAGTCAATTCTGATTTATGGCGACCCCGGAGGATGGCCACATACCCCAGTTTACATGGCTCAGTCCCAGTTTATACTTTTGACCCAGCATAGTTATTAATAACATTACTTTCATACTAAAAAATGTCCCCATTTGGATAATATGCCCTACAGGGCTGTTGTGCAAATTACTTTATGCCTCACACACAGTAAGTGGTAAGCGTTCGATACATGGTTGTCGTTGTGGTTGTTAGGTGCCATCAAGTCAATTCTGACTCATAGCAACCCCATACGAGAGAGCAGAACGGCCCCATAGGGTTTCCCAGGCTGCAGTCTTTATGGGAGCAGCTGCCACATCTTTGTCTAATGGAGCGGCTGGTGGGTTTGAACCACCAACCTTTTGATTAGCAGCCGAGTGCTAACTTTGATACATGATATCATACATCATCATCGTTATCATCACTCCAGTCATTTGTGCAATGCTTGCAGGCTGAAAATGTTAGCTCACTTCCTGCCTAGACAGGAAGTATAAAATGTCAGCTCACTTCCTGCCTGGAGAGGAAGCATAAAAGAAAACTCTGAGACAGACCGCTTCTTCTCTAGAATCATTTACAGGTTTGTTCTGCAGGCTGGTGCTGTGCTTCTGATGGCCTAACACCCCAGGTGCCCTGCTCCTGGCCTTGTCAAAAGCTAGTATCTACACCTGCCTTCTCTGTGCGGACTTCTACCTCATCAGCACACCAAGGTCCACGGTCCAGCAAGGCAGAACCACATGAAAAAGACTTATTTACCTACCTTTTGAGGTGTCTATTTTGGTCCGCACATTAATAAAGAACAGCATTGGTTTGCTCAGTATGGTTTCCCTGTAGTCTTTATAATCGCAGTAGTTGGTCAATTCCACGTGTCTATGAAAAAGCAGAGATAATTGCAAATGTAATGTTCCCTCTCATCAAAATCAGTGCCTGCCACATCCACAGACCCTTGAGGTAAGTCCCCTAAAATGTATCCTACATAGAGGCTGCCATATCCATATTCTGTACTGTATATCCCCCTTGCCTGGTCAAACCCAAAAGTGCTCACGGTCTTTGGAGTGGCTTAACAATAATAATTGGCTCTCGGGCAGTTTTTACCAGATGCTGGCCAGTACCGTTATTTTTTTGAGGCTATAAGAGTTAATTTGAAGCTGGTAGAGCTGGAAGTCTGCATGCCATAACATGCATGAACCTTGAAAACATCATGCCGAGCAAAGGAAGTCAGTCACAAAAGGACGAATACTGTATGATCTCGCTTATATGAGACAGGCAAATACACAGAGACCAGAGATTAATAGTGGCTTCCAGGGCTGGGAGGGAGGGAAAAAGGGGGAGATTTTGCTTAGGGGACATTGAGTTTATGTTAATGTTAATGGAATGATTTGGAAAAGGGTAGCAAGAACGTGGCACATCTTGAAGAAAGCACTCCATGTCACTGATATGTACATGTAGAAATTGTTGGGATGGCATATATGTTTTGGGAGGTATATTTGCACCACAGTAAAGAAAAAAAGAACTTTAAGTCCCTCTAGATTGCGAATGGATTTCATTTTCTCAATAAGTAGAATTATCTGGGTCTTCTCTGGTGGAGGAGTCCCTGCAAATGGTTAATGCACTCAGCTACTAACCGAAAAGTTGGCGTTGGAGACCACCCAGAGGCGCCTTGGGAAAAGGACTAGAGATGTACTTTTGAAAATCCAGAGCACGATTCTACTCAGCACACATGGGGTCACCGTGACTGAGAGTCGACTCGACCGGCACCTGGTTTGGTTTTGGGTTTTTCTGGTGGAGGTGTCCTAACTGGTGGGCGTCAAATCTTCTTTTCCTTCTCCTGCCTTCTTCCCCTCTCCAATCCCTCCACAGACTGTACAACCAACCAATATTCATAGGAACTATTGCCAATTCATGTCTACTGTGACGCTGAGCTAATGCCATTAAAATAATTAAAAGGAACTAACGTTGCACAGTTACTCATATCCTTATTGAAATTAGCCCCCTGGGTTTTAGTTTACTAGTTTAGCCTGGGAAGATTTTTGAATCTTGACCCTGTCATCCAGCATGTTTGCTTTCTCTCCCTGCCCTACAAAAGTTCCAAGCAGCTTTTCCAAGTCTTTACCCACATTGTTGATAAAAAGACAGATCATAGTGAGCTTCCTTCAAAAGTATGGCTAATTTCAACTCTTCAGACAAAGATTAAACTGGACTATGGGACGTAAACTGATACTCGTGAAGAGTGTGTTTCT